ACCATTTTCATTATTTTTGTGAAAAGAAAATAGTTTTTTTTCTTCAAAAATCACAATATAGAATAAAATCTCTAATTTGACAATATTTGTACACATAACATTCCCATTCAAAGCTAGTCATGAAGTTCATACTAACAAGAGCTATGCATGTCAATTTCAAAGATTAAATACTCAAAAAGAAAGAACAAAGATTGCCCCTTTAGACACCATATTTGTTCGAGGTTTACAAAATCATATATCTAGAATCAGCTTTCTAGCGATTGAAATTAAAACAAATAACTATTTACAATTAATATCAGTTTATATTTTTCTCTATCAAGAAAAGCCATATATTCATACAATTAACTAATACAATGTAGCTTTCTTTACAAACTCTTTTAAAAGTGCTAAATTGAAATCCAATACAACATAATGTATATTTCCTTTTTCTGTAGCATAGCTACAGGTACCATCCTAGTGAATTATAATAGCACGGTGATAACGTGACAATTTTTATGATTATTTTCATGTAATTGACTTTGTAAATCAATAGTTGAATGAAAATGAAAATTTTTAAATTTTGTCAAAAAGAAGCTTGATGTAAAAGCTAGAAGTATAATCCATTTCTAACATCAAAAGCACACATGAGAATCAAAGTAATAGATATGAAATGCAAAGTAGAAATAGCATGTATGTTACGGATCTCACATAAAAAAGAGATGAAATGGAGCTTGAGTTTATAAATAAGGGTCTTCCTCCATCTAATAAGTATATTTTTTTAGTTGAAATTATAGGCTCATAAAAAATGATATAACCTACCTAATTCTTCATTAGTATGAAACCCTCCACGAGAAATACTATAAATTAAAGTAAATTCGCATTAAGGTAAATCTCTCTTTTATAAGTAACAAAGTCAATGTAACCAAAGCAGATCACAATTGGATGGAAGAAAGAGTCACAAATCTACATAAAAAAAGATATAAAATAAATTTTGGATTTATAAATAAGAATATTTTCCCATTTAATAAGCATTTGATATTTGATGAGAAAAAAGAATCATTCATTCCTTTCATCCATGAATGTGATTAGGCAATGCATTTCAAGCAAATGCTTGAAATAAAAAAAAAAAAGAAAAAAAGGGCCACTTCTTACTCAGTGGGGGCATGCAAAATGGACAATAGACGCCACCCATGTTACCCCATAGCTGGCGCAGGATCCCTCGCTTTTACCTCACCATTCCTGTGTCTCTCAATGTGATTTAACAAGCACCCAGGTGATTCAAAGTCATGCATTATCTGTCTCCTTTTTCGCTTCACCAACATCATATCTGTTTGATTGGGGGCTGGATATTCCTCATTGGCCAAATGCTTGATATATACTTTATAAACTGCTTTGATTGCGGTGATATTGGTCTATCAAGATAAAGCTTGGTTCCAGGAAGAAAAGCAAGCAAATGAATGGTGACAAAGCCAAAATTAACCTTTGCATTCAACAAGGGCTTTGCAAATCTGTGAGCCAATCTGCCTGTGGTGTGCAAATTCATAATCCCGAAATGGGATTCTGCCACTTTTGATTCCTGAAATTGGAATACGACGAGGCTTGGATGTAGAACATGATTATTCCTTCAAACAGAAGCATGTTTTGGTGATGGATTTATCTGGTTCCAAAGCTGGGTTTGACATCATATCAAAGCAAGGTTTTTGCTACAAAGTTGCAATTTTCATCACCATTTTAGCATCTACACATACCTTAAGGTATCCTGTTTTAGCTGTTGTGCTCATCAAAATAGAACCAGAGGGTTGGAATTTTACAGGTTCTGGTCAAAATCAGCATGGGTTCTAACACCTGCACTCTATTGAACCCAAACTACAACCCTAAAACCCAAAAGCCCAATACTCTTTCGGCCCCAATGTTTCAACCCAACAAACAAACCCAAAACCTAACGCATTCTCTCAATCCTTCGATTCTCTTCCATCAATCACAAAATACCCTGAATATCCCAAGTCAAGGACAATATTAACTCAATTTGAGTTAAGTTCATTATTTATTTGTCAAATTTTTCGACAAAAGAATATCATTCTATTTATGTGTTAAATTCAAAAAGTTCCCTCAAAACATTTTAAAAGGATACTTGAGTCCTTTTTATTTCAAAATTATATTTTTAATCCCATAACTAGTAACATCATTAATCAACAGTATAAATATTTTAGGACATAAATACTCTCTTAAAAAAGTCTACTCATATTTCGTTTCAAAACTTAATAAAATTTACTTTGATATTTAACAAAATTTAATATTTGACAAAGAAGAAAAAAATTTAAAACTTAGTAAAATTTTAAAGCGAGATTTGTGAATGTGGTAATTTACCTCATTTTTATACTTAATAAAATTCGATATTTGATATAGAGGAAAATATATAAAACTTTTGATAAATAATAATCAAGTCAAAATCTTTTTATGTCACCTAAACCTTAATTTCAAAGAATAAATTTTGGGCAAAAATTTTTCAACAAAATTAGTAATAACAAGTAAAAAATTAATCTCTTGATTCGACACTATTAAATTTAAAATATTCATAATAGAACAAAAGATTTACTTTTAATTAGGGATGTTAATATGAGCTAGCCTAGCTTAGCTTAGACCAAACTCTTGTGAGTTGAGAAAATATGAGTTAAGCTAGGCTAATCCATTTTTTACATAGGTTTTCAAAACTCAACCTAGCCTACTCTTTGTCAGTCCCTGGATCGAGTTGGACCAGTCCACTTTTTTTTTTCAAACAAAAAATATTTTTACAATTCTACCTAACAAATTTTCTATCGATAAAATTATTTCATAATTTAATTTATAAATTGAATAATAAATATATATTACAAACAAATAAATTACATCAAGCATAAATAAGCAAATAAATTGCATTAAATATAAATAAAATTTCAATCTCTAACATAAACTTCCATCCCATAAACATAAGTATATAATCAAATAAATAAAAACTCGAATATTCATTTATGTTGTCCTCAATTCTCATCCTCAAGCAAAACATTTGAATTTTATTTGGACAATAATGATGTAACAATTTTTAAATAATTATTAATTTATCATCTAATATTCATTGGCATAAAAAAAAGAGATAGTAAATTTTAATCTTAACTGAAATTATTAATTTGATAAATAGAGGCCTTTTCTTTTATAATTAGGAGAAGGAGGATTCGAATTCTGCTCTTTAGATAGGGGATCATGTATTAATCAATGAGTCAAATACTTGAGTATAATTTGATAAATAGAGGTTAAACATATTGAAATATACAAAATAAGCGATACAATTGGCAACTAAATTATTAATTTTATATAGCTAAATATATAAAATTATTAAGACCATCTCTAACCTGAGATAACCCATCAATCAGATGAGTTGGCCCATTTAAACTCAGTTATAATATGAGTTTAAATTTTCAAGCCCAACCCACCCCACTTTCAATAAAAAATGAGTCGGTTCAATAGACTAAGTCCATTTTAACAGATCTACTTTTAATATATTTTTTCTAATGATTTTTTTTTTCAAATTGTTGGAGAAATAAAGAGTTTTATGACAATAGACTTTATCTCAAGAAAGAAGTTTATGGTTTTCAAAGTAGATGTAGCTTCAATTTTCCAGGCCTTCAAATAAAAAATTTTTAGATTTTTTTATTAAGTTTTTTGAGAGAAGGATGAGTAGATTTTTTTTTTTAGAAAAAGGGGATATGCTTAAATTAAAAAATAATATAAGAGATATTTATATCTTAAAATATTTATGTAGTATTAAGTTTAATTTTTTTAACTATTAACTAATGATGTTGACAATATAGGTACTAAAAACATCATTTTGAAACAATAGAGATTAAAGTGTCATTTTGAAGTGTTTTGAGAGAATTTTTGAATTTTATCTTTCTATTTACTATAAATTTATTATCTTTAAACTCCCATAGACTATATTTAATTTCATTAATAATAAAATTTTCTTGAAAAATTATTTACCAAATCATGAAAGATTGAGAAAATTTTGGGTTTGGATCTTATTTTGCACAATCTTGTAACTTTCCAACAATACCAATTTCTCTTATATCCAATTTCAAATGAACTCAAGCAAACCATTTTACACAAGCTTAGTGCATTTTTATAAAATAATGATCAAAATTGAAGTCGTCCGATAAAAAAAAGATAAATTTAATAAGATAAGAAAATATATTCTAAATTTATTATTTATGATTTTTTTAATTTTTAGATATTAAAAATAATAATTTTAATATAAAATATTTTAAAATAAAAAATTATATTTTAAATTTAAAAAAAATGTAAAATCTATTGATAGTAAATTTTTCTTTTTCTCTCATGACGGGAAATTATTATATAGTTTCTTAATTGTAGTTTACTTATGTTTTTAATATTGATTTTTGTTAAATCAAACACAAGTTATTTGTAAACCTTATTAAAATTTATAAATTCTAATCTTTCATTTTCTTTTCAAAAAATCAATCTTTCGTGGTATTTCTTAATCCTAATATTATAAATTTATTTATTACCTTTCAAAAAAATATTATGCATTTATCAATGAACATTTTTAACTATTTGTGCTTAAAATTCTTTTAGAGATTCTTGTATTAAAAATATTTTCATTTATATCCTCAAAAATTTAATTTATATGTTAATAAGTTTTAAAAACATAGATATTTAATTGACATAAATTGCTATTTGCAGTCAATCAATTATATAACGAATAAAAAAAAATCAGAAAACAATTTGTTACACTAAATGCACAATTGCTATAAATAAATCTCAATTTCATATTAATTTCATTGAGAAAATTCTTTTGATTTGAAGATTAGTGTTTGTTTTCATCATAAAACATATAAAATTAAAAAAAAAAAAATAAAACAGTAAACAAACAAAGCCAGCTTTAAAATCACAAATTTCCCAGCATTTTCCCAGCTACCAAACAAAGCCCATTTGGTCGGTGACACATTTGTATCCAAAAGCATTATGAATCCCACCATCGTCTGTCGTTTCTCTCATTAAAAAAGGACATTTTTTTTTTCAAAAAAAGGAAAAACAAACCCCTTTCTTTCTCAAACCCAAAATTCCCAGAGAATTTCTCTTCTCCTCTTGCATTCCCCAACCCAAAAACCTCCCAAATTCCAATGCAATATTCCATCAGATAACCCAAACTTCTCAAGGACCCTAATCTCCATTTCCTTCGTATTTCCCAATAATGTCAGGTCCATCACTCATGGATTCCCTGTTTCAACGCACTTTGGAGGACTTGATCAAAGGCCTCAGACAACAATTGATCGGTGAGCAAGCTTTCATTTCCAAAGCCCTGGAAGACATCCGTAAAGAAATCAAATCCACTGACCTCTCAACCAAATCCACAGCTCTCCTTAAACTCTCTTACCTTTCCTCCCTTCACTTCCACGACATGGCGTTTGCAAGTTTCCATGCTTTGGAAGTCCTCTCTTCCCCTCGTTTTTCGCACAAAAAAATTGCGTACCATGCAATCTCACTTTCCTTCCATGATTCCACCCCTGTTCTTCTCCTTATAACTAATCATCTACGCAAGGATCTTACCAGTACCAATGAGTTTGAAGTAAGTTTATCTCTCCAATGCTTATCTAGAATTGCTAATGTTGATCTTGCTAGGGATTTGACCCAGGAAATTTTCACTCTACTGTCTAGTAATAAACTTTATGTTCGAAAAAGGGCAGTAGCTGTAGTATTAAGGGTTTTTGAGAAATACCCAGATTCTGTTAGGGTGTGTTTTAAACGTTTAGTTGAAAATTTAGAGAATTATGATCCTCAGATTTTGTCTGCTGTTGTTGGGGTGTTCTGTGAACTTGCTTGTAAAGATCCCAGATCGTATCTTCCTTTGGCGCCCGAGTTTTATAAGATTTTGGTTGATTCAAAGAACAATTGGGTTTTGATTAAGGTTTTGAAGATTTTTGCTAAGTTGGCTCCTTTGGAACCGAGGTTAGCAAAACGGGTTGTTGAGCCGGTTTGTGATCATATGAGGAGAACTGGGGCGAAGTCGCTGTTGTTTGAGTGTGTTAGGACTGTGGTTACTAGTTTGAGTGAGTATGACTCTGCTGTGAGGCTTGCAGTGGGAAAGGTTCGAGAGTTTTTGGTGGATGAGGATCCAAATCTTAAGTATCTTGGATTGCAGGCTCTTGCGATTGTAGCACCCAAGCACTTGTGGGCTGTGTCGGAGAATAAGGAAGTTGTGATTAAGTCATTGAGTGATGCAGATCCTAATATTAAGATTGAGTCCTTGCATCTTGTGATGGCAATGGTGTCTGAACATAATGTGGCCGAAATTTGCAGAGTTTTGGTCAACTATGCACTTAAAGCTGATCCTGAGTTTTGTAATGAGATTCTTAATTCTATTTTATCAACTTGTTCTAGGAATCTATATGAAATTATTGTTGACTTTGATTGGTATGTATCACTGCTTGGGGAGATGTCAAGAATCCCACATTGCCAGAAGGGAGAAGAAATTGAAAATCAGCTTATTGATATTGGATTGAGGGTCAAGGAAGTTAGGCCAGAACTTGTTCGTGTTGCTCGTGATCTGCTGATTGATCCTGCTTTACTTGGAAATCCTTTCTTGCATAGGGTATTATCTGCTGCTGCCTGGTCTTCTGGAGAATATGTTGAGTTTTCAAGGAACCCATTAGAACTTATGGAAGCACTATTACAACCTCGTACTAGTTTGTTGCCACCATCTATTAGGGCAATTTATATTCAGTCTGCCTTTAAAGTGTTAGTTTTTTGCCTACATACTTACCTTATGCAACGGGAAAGTACCACTTCCTCTGCATGTCCCGATAATTTGCCCTCAGGAGTTTCAGCATCTGTGTCCTACGAATCATTTGATGGTCTGTCGGTGGAAGATGGTGGGGATGCAGCTGTTACACATGGTCTGACATCTACCTCTGCTTCTATGACTGATGAATCTATTGTAAACCTGTTGAATCTGGTTGAAATAGCTTTGGGCCCTCTATTAGGAAGCCATGATGTGGAAGTACAGGGGAGAGCACGGAATGTGCTTGGCTTTGTTGATATGACAAAACTAGATTTACTTAATCCTTCTGCTCAAGAGGAAAAGGGTTTAGAGAGAAAAGAAGTTGAAGCTTCCAAAACCATTGAACTGATGCATGATGCCTTTTCTGAGGAGCTTGGTCCCGTCTCTTTAACTGCCCAGGGAAAAGTTCCTCTACCGGATGGGTTAATGCTTAAGGAGAACCTTGGCGACTTGGAAATGATCTGTGGTGATATTCAACTACCTTCATCAAACTCATTTTCTTTTGGAACTCCTTCTAATGAGCAGAAGGTTGGTGTTTCTTTCTCTAACCTTCAGATCAAAGAAGACTTTGAGCAATCAAATGAGTCCACATCTCTGTTAGCTGAGCATCGTAAGCGCCATGGATTGTATTATCTTCCTTCAGGGAAGAGTGAAATAATTTCAAATGATTATCCTCCTGCCAATGACCACACATCACAGGGTAATGTCAATGATAATTCTGATGATCTGGCTAAACTTACCGAGGAATCACTTTTCCCAAAGAAAAAACCAAACCATGCCAAGCCTAGGCCTGTAGTGGTAAAATTGGATGAAGTGGATGAGAAACCCATTGCAATGAAGAAGCCTGAGGCAAAGGATGATTCACTCTCAGGTGCTGTGCGGGATATTCTTTTAGGTAGTGAAGATGTGATACCCACTTCATCACGAAGCAACCTTTCTGATAAGCCATCTAGCAAGAGAAGGGGGAAGGAAAAACAAGATACAGATCCTCATGTGGAATCAAAAGAAAATTTAGTTGATGATGGAAATCCTAATTCAAGAAGGAGAAAACACCGTAGTCATGGTAAAGAGAGAAGACATAAAAGTCCAAGGAAGAAGAATGCTGAGGAAAGAGAAGATAATGGTCAGAAAGAAAAAGAGAAGAGCACTCATCGCCATGGAAGGCATAAATCTCGTCAAAGAGCTGATGAGCTTTTGAATGTTTCTCCACAAACACCTGTTATTCCTGATTTCCTTTTATAGCGTTAAATTTTTTGATCCAATAGTTAGAAACTGCTTGATAGAAGTTGGCCGATAATATCCCTGCATTCTGCCTTCTTGCATGCTAAGGTTAGTTCTGCTGTAAATTTATACTTTCTGTTTTTGTTTGGGGTTTGTGGTTTATTGAAATTTAAACTCTGGGATTGGTTTTGGACATTATACATGTTGAAATTCAATTTTGAGGTAAAGTTTCAATTTTGAAACGTTCTGGCACCTGAGCTTTAAAATGAATATATTCTCTGTATGTTATAATTTCGAGTCTTGAAATGCTGATATGTTTCAAGTTGTACTATCTATTACACAAGTAAAAGGAAGCCTCAAAGGAGCTTCCTCCTCTAGCCACTTGGAGGCCATAGGAAAAAAGAAAAATGGTATTGAAGACAGAAAAAGAGAGGTAAAAAGAAAATGAAGAAAACAGGTAGAAAGTGGCCCGTGTGCAACGCACGGGCCATAGTGTAGTTATTTTAATTGGAACCTTCTGTTTCTTGCAATCATCCCATTGTGATTACTAGGCTATAATATCTGTATTTCTGCGCATGTCCTTATGTTAGATGTGGGAATCATCAGCATCATAGTCACATTTTTCACTCAACAACTTATGCTTTACTCACCAGAATATAATGTCTACATGCTGTGCATGTTCTTGTGTTAGATGCGGAATTCATCCAGCATCGTTGTCTCATTATTTAGTCAACAGATTAGGCTTTACTGACTCAATGCAACGAATTGAGTCTACCTTGACTGACAATCTGATGGTTTTGTTGAAGTTACTGCTCATATCCTTGTGTGGACTTTATGTTGAAATTGTGGTGTTTTTGTTATACGATTGCATCCTGCTGATTTTGCCAGTATGTTACAATTTGGTTGGAACATAACTGTGAAGGGAAATCAGGTGGTAGCATAATGCAATCAACTTTCTTAATCATATTGAAAAAACTATGTTGCTTTAAAGTTGAGTTTTAGAATATATATTTTGGAAGCTTTAGTTGTTTATTTTAGCCTTTAGGAATTCTCCTGCTGAGGTTAGTTGAGCAGCAGCAAATTTTGTTACTGCAATTATTTCTCAATTTTGATATGCATTACATAAATAAAAGGTATAATGCTCTAAAAAGTGTATGAACTATTTAATAAAATTTAAATAAAATTAACTGTTGTTAGTTAAAATATCATTTATCATTTTATATTCACGTAAAAGTTAAAAAATTGTCATGTGACAATGTGATTTCACTGCATTTTATGCTTATTATGATAAAAGAGAATATATAAAATGGTGTAATCTATGACTTTGATTGCTCCCTCTTTCCTTCCCATTTAAGTCTTCAAAATGGTCTTAACTTTTCTTCCCAAAGCAACACCTAAACATGCACTTGACGTGTGATTTGTGTATCCTGTTCCATACGGCAATGGAGAAATTTCATTGCAGCTTCAATTGCTCTACCTAGTCACATCCTAACAGGTTTTTTTGTAATAATTAATTAATAATTTTGTTGGTATATTGGTTTTCTTCTTATTACAATTAGGGAAATAATCAGCATCATCAAACAATGGCTTCAAAGGTTTGGAAAGCATTTTGTTTCTTTATTGACGAGTAGCTGCCAAGAGTCAAACTTCAAATTCTCTCCTTTTTCAGATTTACTTGATAATATTTTTTTTTGTTAAAGAAGGGAAAGATGGATTGCAATTCAATCATAAAGAGAATATATGTGTTTATTATTGAATCAAATGCTGAGATGTCTTATGATTGCTTTAATTAACTACAGTTAAAGAAAGTAAGAATAATTATTTAATATTCGTATTTAAAAGAAAATGAAACAAATTAAAAATGTCAACTTAATTTGAAAAGAATTAAACTATTTAGTTATGATTTCTCTCTATTCTTCCTAATTAATTAGAGGATTGTCATCAAAATTTCGAGATATTCAAGTATGTTAGCTTAGAAAAGCACCCGTTTACTTGATTGATTGGTTATAATAAATTAATATTGTGTTTGAATTCTTATAACATTATGCCTATGATTTAGGTAGAAAGGCATTGGATAGCCTTAGGTTGGACTAAACCACATGAATTCCATCTTAACGTACGCGTCGATGTTTTCGCTATAGAGTCAATAAAAAAGATTTGCTTATCTCTCTTCCTTTTTCTCCCATACGATACAGGCAAAGGCAATGGGAAATGAAACTCAAAAAGCCCCAACTTTCGCCAAGCTTTTCAGTTCCCATTTCCAATTAGTTCATCTCTTTCATCTTGTGTCCTTTGTTATTGGTTTGTCCCTAGGAATTATAGCTAGTTCCAATTCCCACTTACATATAGATCATCCCTTCTTGTTTCCATCCCTGCAACCCTTACTATCACCACCACCATCATTGCTTCCACTATCACCGCCACCCTTGCCGCCCCCTCCACCACCACCCCCATCTGTACCTCATCATAGTAGTTTTGACTCAAATATATGGGCACCTCTCATGCACAATATGAGTGATGAAGAGTTGTTTTGGCGAGCATCGTTTGTTCCGAGAGTTAAAGAGTTTCCATTTGAGAATGTCCCTAAAATCGCCTTCATGTTCTTGACAAAGGGAGCTTTACCTCTAGCCCCTTTGTGGGAGATGTTCTTCAAAGGACATGAGGGGCTTTACAACATATATGTTCACCCCCATCCCCTTTACAAGGATTCTGTGCCAGAGGACTGTGTTTTTTATGGAAGAAGAATTCCAAGCAAGGTTAGTTCAGTCATATTTCCTGGTTCCTACCACACTATCATCCATCTCTAATTGTTTTCACCTTTTTCAATTATCACATTTCTTGAAATAATATCTCTTTTTGTTATTCAGGATAAATATAGTTTAATTCTAACAATTGTAAATTGATTCAATTAGTAAATTTGATTATTTTGATATAAATGATCTTAATTTTAAATCTTATTGACAGTTTTATTCTTTTTTATTTTAATTTAAGAAAAAGAGATTCAAACCCTAGGGAATCATATACTAACTAATAAAGTAACCTATCAACATAAGATAATATGACTAAAAAAAAAAGTAGTCTTGACCATAGAAATTGGTCTAGTACCAGAAAGAAAACCTTTGAATGCAAGAACCAACGACTTCCACTGTAACCCACTTTAGAAATCAACGATGAATGGGTACATTGCATATGTGACACATAGTATGTTAGTTTGTGTGCCATTGAGCTATTGAGCCAAATTGTACAGACTTTGACTAGTGCATGTGACCCACAGTCTAGTTTTTACAAGTCTCCCTATTAAACATTATTAGCGAGTTTTCAAAATTTTAAGATCACCATGAATCCTCTTTTCTCTAAAAATAAATAAAAGAATAAAAGGTTTTGAACTTAGCCAAAACAGTATACCCCCGTTTCAAGATCTAATCAATGCAAAATTATAAAGCTATAAATTGCTTATAGCTATCTAATTACTTGATAGCTAGAGAAGGGTTTTTTTTTTTTATTAATGTTTCAATGGCACAAGTAAACCCAATTAGAAAACAACTTCAACAATTACGTATCTTTTTTGGTCTTTGAGAGATGTGTTGAGTTGATAGAATTAAAATGAAAAACCAGAAATAATGGTATAATATGTAAATAAATCATTTTTCTCTCCTTCTTGATCGCAGCCCGTGGAATGGGGAAAAGAGACGATGATCGATGCAGAGAGGCGGCTTTTAGCGAATGCTCTCCTTGATTTCACAAACGAGAGATTTGTGTTGCTCTCGGAGACTTGCATCCCTTTATTTAACTTCACAACAATATACAATTACCTCCTCAACTCCAATCAAAGTTATGTAGGTTCATATGATGATCCAAGGAAGGTAGGCCGTGGCAGATACAACCCCAAAATGTTCCCTGCCATTTCCATAGCTCAATGGCGTAAAGGCTCCCAATGGTTTGAAGTGACTCGCAGCCTTGCTATCGAAATCGTATCAGACAAAAAATACTACCAGATTTTTAGAGAATATTGCAGCCCTCCTTGCTACATGGACGAGCACTACATACCAACCTTGGTGTTGATTGTTTGGCCAGAGCAAAACTCGAATAGGAGTGTTACTTGGGTAGATTGGTCAAAGGCTGGTCCTCACCCTGGGAAATTTGGGAAGGGAGCTATTTCGGAAGATTTTCTGAATAAAGTAAGGTTTGCTGGTAATTGCAGTTATAATGGGAATATTACTTCCATGTGCTTTCTGTTTGCTAGGAAATTCCTGCCAAATACATTGCACCCTTTGTTGGACATTGCAACCATGTTGTTAAGCTCTAATCAATTCTTGACATGAGAGTACCCATTTAATACTAAGCTACCCAATTGTATTTATAAGATTTTTTTATCTCAATCTTACGAAAACTAATATTTTTTTTATATAATTAGGAGAAGGGAAATTCAAATCTTACTCTTTAGACATGAGAATCATATACTAACTAATGAACCAAATACTCAAATGCATGAAAACTACTAATTCTTAGTATAGAAATGAAAAAACTATTAAATGTACCTAATTGGTCAAATTTTTGAAAATTTAAACTTTTGATTATTAACATGTTTAATTTTTTTGGGTACAAAAATGGTACCATTCGAACTTAAAATCTCTATTCATATCTCATCTTAAACTTATCAACTTGAGTTCCAGATCTGAAGATTGGAAGTCCTAGATCGGTTATTCAACAACTAACTTGAGCCGGTTCAAAGCTAGTTATGTCCCTGACTCGTGGAGGAAACATGAGAAGGGAAAAAGGAAAAAGTGTAAAAAAAAAATAATTTTATTTTTTAATCAAATTATTATTATTCATTGAAGGGAAAAATAGTATTTTGCTTTCTATTCCTTACACATTCCTCAATATGATTTTACCAACCAAATTCTTAATAATATTTCTCATGTATTTCATTCTTTAAATCAAATTACATAATAGTTATTTCCTTTCTATTCTATTATCACAGAATACTTATTTTTATTTTATTTTATTTTACGAACCAAATATGTTACAAGAAAATTTATTCATTCTCTATTTTTATTTTGACAAAATAATTATTTTATTATTTTTTATTTTATTTCAAGAACCAAATGTGTCGTAAGAAAAGAGTTTCAATGTAATTACAATTTCTTCTTATTTATCATATTGATTTTAATGAATTATTCCTTTAAAAGAGTATATGTGCAATAAATATTATATTATATTATTATATATAATCAAACTATTCTTATCAAAACATAAAAAGAAACTACATTTAACGATGGGATCATGCGCTACGAATGAGGCCAAAAATATAGTAATGTATAAATACTGAAAATAAAATTCTTCTCTTTAAATTATTTTTAATTAAGAATATTTCCATATTATCTAAACAAAATATTTTTTATATAATTTAGTTAATAAATTTTAACAATTACATTAAAATGCAACCATTTTCAAACAAAAATAAACATTAAATCTATATATTGTTGGTTCTTTATATTAATCCGAGAATTTTGGAGAATGAAACTCAAAAGGATCGGTTCCCTCTCCGTCTCTAACTCTCTCTTGCATTAAAAGCCAAAGATAACGTCATTTTTATATAACACCATCCTTCCATTCCAACATCCCTATCGCACTCTCGACGACGAAGAATATGTTGGAGCACCAACGTCCACAGTTACCGGCTCAAGTTCAATACAATGATGTTGTTGGGTATATTCTTCTCTTTGCATTTGGTTTCGGCCTTGGGATCACTCTCAGCTTTTATCTCAAAGATTTGTCTTTGCATTGGATTCATCCTCCATTTCCAATCAAAGTAAGAGCGTGGTAAAGAGAGAAGACATAAAAGTTCAAGGAAGAAGAATGCTGAGGAAAGAGAAGATGAGCATTTGAACGTTTCTCCACAAACACCTGTGATTCCTAATTTCCTTATGGAGCATTAAATCTTGTGAAGTAAAGTTCCAATTTCGAAACATTCTGGCACCTGAGCTTCAAAATGAATATATTCTTGTGTATGTTATAGTTTCAAGTCTTGGAATGCCTATGCTTGGAGTTGTACTATTATTTTAATGGGAACCTTCTGTTTCTTGCAATCCGGTTGTGAATACTACATCTCTGTGCATGTCCTTGTGTTAGATGTGGAGATCATCAACATCATATACAGTCACATTATTCAGTCAACAACTTATGTTTTACTCACTAGTATATATTATCTACATGCTGTGCTTGTTCTTGCGTTAGATGTGGAAACCATCAGCGTCCTCGTCGCATTATTCAGCCAACAGCTTACTCACTGGTATATAATATTAGTCTATAAATCCATATTTTGACGGCCTCAGATGTAATAAAAAAAATCTAAAAATAGTTGTAATCCTTGACTTTGATTGCTTCCTCTTTTCTTCCCATTAAAGTCTTCAACTAAAGAAAATGGTTTAACTTTTCTTCCCTTAAAATGCGCTTGACGTGTGGCTTGTGTGCCCTATTCCACACGATAATGAAGAAATTTCATTGCATTTTCAATTGCTCTGATATAATAATATTGGTTTTCTTCTTACAAATATGGAAATCATCAACATCATCAAACAATGCCTTCAAACTGAAAACGTAAATTTCAACAGAAAATAATTAAATTATTTAATTGTGGTTTCTCCCTTTCTTCCTAATTAATCTTGTGTTTGAATCCTTATAACTTAGCTCATCTCTTTCATCTTGTGTCCTTTGTTATTGGTTTGTCCCTAGGAAATACAGTTAGTTCCAATTCCCATTTACAAATAGATCATCTCTTCTCGTTTTCATCCTTGCTACCCTTACTATCACCACCACCACCACCATTATTGCTTCCGCTATTTCCGCCACCCTTGCCGCCACCTCCACCCCTTCCCCATTTGTACCTCATCATAGTAGTTTTGACTCAAATATATGGCCAACTCTCATACACAATATGGGTGATGAAGAGTTGTTTTGGCGAGCATCGTTTGTTCCGAGAGTTAAAGAGTTTCCATTTGAGAATGTCCCTAAAATCGCCTTCATGTTCTTGACAAAGGGAGCTCTACCTCTAGCCTCCTCGTGGGAGATGTTCTTCAAAGGACATGAGGGGCTTTACAACATATATGTTCACCCCTATCCTCTTTACAAGGATTCTGTGCCAAAGGACTCTGTTTTTCATGGAAGAAGAATTCCAAGTAAGGTTAGTTCACACATATGTCCAAGTTCCTACCACACTATCATCAATCTATCATTGTTTTCACCCCTTTCAATCATCACATTTCTTGAAATAATTTCTCTTTTTGATTGTCAGTTTAATTCTAACAACCGTAAATTGACTCAATTAGTAAATTCAAGTTAACTTGTTCATTTTGATATATAAATGATCTTGAATTCAAATCTTATCAATAATTTTCATGAAAAGTGATTTTCAATATCTATGGTTTAATTTAGAGTTTCAAGTAATCTATCAACATAGGACATTTTGAACAAAAGGCAAAAAGTAGCCTTGACCAAACAAATTGGTCTAATACCAGAAAGAAAACCTTTGAATGCAAGAGCCAACAACTCCCACTCTAACCCACTAGAAATCAACGATGAATGGATACATTGTACATGTGACACATATAGCATGTTAGTTTGTGTGCCATTGAGCTAGTGAGCCAAATTGTACAGACTTGACTAGTACACTTGACCCACAGTCTAGTTGTTGGAAGTCTCCCTATTAAACATTATTAGCGAGTTTTCAAAAATTTAAGATCACCATAAATCCTCTTTTCTCTAAAAATGAAAAAATTAAAAGGACGTTTGAACTTAGCTAATACAGCATACCCCCATTTCAAGATCTAATCAATGCAAAATTATTAAAGTATAAATTGCTTATAGCTATATAATTATTTGATAGCTAGGCAAGGGTTCTTTTTGTTTTATCTTTTTAATGTCTTAAAGGCACAAGTAAATTCAATTAAAAAGCAATTTACGTTTCTTTGAGATATATGTTAAATAGTCAAAATTGAAAATACATAAATAATGATATAATATGTAAATAGTCATTTTTTTATCATGTTACATCAATATACAACGTCATCATGATATAAATATGCTATGTTAGTGCCAAGCTAGCATTGTGTAGTATAGAATGACAAGTTATATTTTGACAAAATCAACTATTAGTCGTAAATGTTTATTTGATTCAAAATAAAAATACAAAAACTTATTTTTCACTCAAAATAAAAGTACAATGACTTCTTTAAATGTAACAAGAGTATAAGGGTTTATTTAAATTTTTTTGAATAATTTAAAAACTTTTTTAGATATTATGCTTAAACTTTTAGTTTTTTTTTTCTTTTGAAAACTTAATAGAAAGGATCTAAATTTAAAAAATCTTTTTTTTGAAACAAATGTGTAATTATTATTTGGTGACGTTTAGGTGTCCTACAATACAATATAATTATAACGAATGTGATTGTTGAGAAAATAACACATTTGATATATTTGTGTCTTTACATTTGTAACTTGAAGAGAGAAAATATGTAAAGTTCAAATAGCACCTAGATAATTATATATAATTTTTAATCTCAAGCCTCTTGAAACTACTAATTTTTAGTAGAAATTATTAAAACAAATAAAAAACTATTAAATGTACCAACTTGAGCCGTTGCATAGCTAGTCACGTCTCCGACTAATGGAGGAAACATGAGAAAAGAAAAAAGGAAAAGGAAAAGAGGAAAAAAGAAAAAATGTAAAAAGAAAAATATTTTTTTAGTCAAATTATTGTTATTCATTGAAAGGTAAAATAGTTTTTTTTTTTTTGCTAGTCCTTACACATTCCTCAATATGATTTTGCCAACCAAATATCTTACTAATATTTCTCCTATATTTCCTTCTATAAATCAAATTATATATCATATGCCTTATTGGTTCAATAATATAACTTCGACCTTGACCTCTTGATTTTCTTAAAATTTTAGCTATGTCCCAAAAGTTTCTACCTATTTTTTCTTTCCTCAAATTTTATGTGATCTTAAACTTTTTCAAATAATTTTATTGAAAAACTTATTATTTGTAAGAAAACTTATTTATTATGCAGATTCATTTTCTGAATAGATATACTTAAATTTTGTTAACTTATCATATTTTTTAAAAGTAGTTTCATTGTATGATATAATAACTAGTTCTCAACCTATGTGATACATATAATATAATGTGTGAGCGAGAATGTACGTGAGTAGGTAGATATATTGATAAATTTCATTATTAATCGATATTATCTAAACAAAAGATTTTATGTATAAATTAATTAATAATTTTGAATTATTAAATTAAAATGCAACCATTTTCACAAGAAAATAAACATTAAGTCTATATAATATTGGTTCTTCAAATTAATCCAAGAATCTTTTGGAAGATGAAAGCCGAAGCTTCATTCTTAATAGTAAATAAAATTTTAATATTTTATAATATAATGTGTGAGTGAGAATGTATGTGAACGGGTAGATATGTAGATAAATTTCATTATTAATCGATATTATCTAAACAAAATATGTTATATATAATTTAATTAATAATTTTTAATTATTAAATTAAAATGCAACCATTTTATAAGAAAAAAAAAACATAAAGTCTATATATTATTGGTTCTTCAAATTAATCCAAGAATCTTTTGGAGAATGAAAGCCGAAGCTTCATTCTTGTAAATGTAACCTAAAAGAATCTGTGCCCTCTCCCACTCTCTCTCACATTAAAAGCAATATATATATCCGCTCTTTTTATAACACCAGCTCTCCATCCGCGTGCTCTCTCTTCCAATCTTCGTTGTTGATCCCTACAGAGCTCTCTTCCAATATGAATATGAATGTGGTGGAGCAGCAGCGTTTGCATGCACAAGTTCAATACAATGATGTTGTTAGGTATGTGCTTCTCTTTGGATTCGGTTTAGGCCTTGGAATCACCCTCAGCTTCTATCTCAAAGAATCGTCTTTGGATTCCCAACTTAGTCGACTCTCCACTTCTCCTTTCCTGGTACCATGTGCCGTTCTAAACCCTCCTCCGCCATCCACTAATTCATCCTCCATTTCCAATCAAAATAAGAATGTGGTGGAAACCCGAATATTGCCTTTTCTCATCGAACCATCTCCTCCACAAGATGATATCGTCTCAACATCTCCTCCACAAGACATTATTGTCTCAAACCAAACCAAAAAGTCCACTATAGAAGAATTTTTTCAACCGCCGGAAATAACTATGCACGATATGGAGGATAAGGAGTTGTTTTGGAGAGCGTCAATGGCTCCGAAAATCCAAGAATATCCAATCGAACGAGTCCCCACAGTTGCATTTTTGTTTCTGACGAGAGGGAAAGTGTTGTTAGCTCCAATTTGGGAGAAATTCTTTCAAGGACATCAAGGGCTATACTCCATTTACGTCCATTCCAGTCCTTCTTTCAATGAAACAGTGCCCCAAGGTTCGGTGTTTCATGGCAGGCAGATTCCTAGTAAGGTCAATCCTTCACAAATTTTCCCATTCGTTTTTTTCATTTTACATCTAACATAGCTATAGTCATTATAATTTCATTGTGTTAATTAGTTTTCATCCAATTATTGTGAAGATGTTAAACTTGGAAATAGAAATATTGTGTAAATTGTGATTTACTTGCCATAAATATAGATTTTACAAGTCAATTTTCATCCATTTAAGCAAGGTAATTAATAATAATAATAATAATAATAAAGGAGGATCCGAAGCCTTGGTTTTTTGGATGCTGCATTTAATTAATGGCCCGTTATTATAGAAACATAAAGTCTGACTCAAATGTTACACCAAAGAATGAAACATTAACAGCTCAATTTTGATGCCATTAACTATTTGAGGCCAATCATAACTGTGAAAATAAATATTACGAGCTGTTTTTATTTCTATTAGGGGGTTATTGTTTAGCATAATTCTTCATTCTTCTCCACTCCTTTTATTGCAAAATATCTGTAGTGGGGGCATCATAGTGATGTGATTATTGCATGTGTGTATGGATTAATTACATTATAATTAGACAGATGCTGGGGACACCAAATAATGTATATAGACACAAAGTGGGTGATTATTATTTTTAATACTAAATAATAAATTAATATATAAAAATGTTTTTAATATATAAAGTCTAAAAATAATAATTGAAATCTAAAAGTAATTTAATATTATTAAAGTTAGAATTTTTATCAACTATAACAATTCTACATAAATAATAACACTGTTATATCAAAAAGTGATGAAAGTTAATCTCTTTTGTTATCATTCAAAAGAAATTACTATTATATTAGAAGTAAACTTCTTTTATAAAAGTGATTCAATGTAATTACAACTCTCTCTTATCTATAAATTCTATTATCAATTAATAATTGACAAAAATTAATATACAATAATAGTTTAGAAATATAATCAATAAGGATGTCCTTTTCGAATAGTGCTTATGCTATATTATATTATATTGAAAGAATATTATATATATATATAGATGTCTTAAAATCTTTAAATTCGATATTATTCAACAACTCCTTTATAAAAATAATAAAATGTTAATTTATGGGCATTTATTTTTTATTAGGAGTGGAATCGTAGTGTAATTTAACATTTCTTTTTAACATTTAAATGGAATGCTTGTTTTATTTTTTGTTTTTAAGAAAAAGAATATTCATGCATTGCTTTGGTTCTACTTCTTTAATCCACCTTTCGTCACATTCTAGCCCCACTCTGTTACATTGCTTTCTTCATTGTTTGTCTTATGTTATAGAGAAAAAAATTGAAGCAAAATGTTCTGGCAAATAACCTGGGATGATATGTTTTGTCTCAATTGGGGGTAGATTTTAGTCAAGTTATTGAGCTAATCCATTCATTTGCATGCATGCACTTGCACATACATTATTATTTGGCCTTGCACCCTATATATATGATGGTGTTCTTTGAACATTAACCAATGTAGAACGTGAGCTGGGGAGAAATGAATATGGTGGCGGCAGAACGCCGCCTGTTAGCAAATGCTTTGCTTGACATCTCAAATGAGCGTTTCGTTCTTGTTTCGGAGTCATGTATCCCTCTCTTTAATTTCACTACCATTTACAATTATCTCATACACTCGGAAAGATCCCACGTGGAGTCGTTAGATTTACCAGGCCCCGTAGGGCGTGGCAGGTACAGCTCCGATATGGAACCCGTGGTTACGATTGAACAATGGCGAAAGGGCTCTCAATGGTTTGAGATGGATCGTTTTCTAGCCATCGAGGTAATCTCCGACGAAACATATTTTCCCGTATTCAGCCTTTTCTGCAAAGATGCATGTTATGGGGACGAGCATTACCTGCCAACATTTGTTGGTATCAACTTTTTGGAGAGAAACTTGAATAGGACTTTGACATACGTGGACTGGTCCAAGGGCGGACCTCATCCGTATACCTTCGAAAGCTCGGATGTGACCAAGGAGTTTCTGGAGAAGCTAAGAAATTCCAGTTGCTATTATAATGGAGAGAGAGCCGACGTTTGCTACATGTTTGCAAGGAAGTTTGCAGCTAATACTCTAGATAGGTTGTTGAGTTTTGCCCCAGAAGTCATGTATTTTTAGTTTGCTTCTTTACTTTGTATAGTTTAAGTCTTTTGTTTGACAATTTGTTATATCTGGACTATAATGGATTTAAGATACCCTACGTTTCCCTTTTTTGCATTTTCATTTTGATGAAAGCTAATCTTTTTGGTTATTCCCTCTATATATATGGAATTAAATTAGCCGATTCCTAAATCTTAACTGATCCAAGTTCAAATTTGTTTGAACAACTTCGACCATTCAGAAATCCACCCGTCCAAGCCAACATTATATTGTTTTTTCTAAAGACATGAAGATTTCATTTTCATTGCTCAACGTGTACAATTTGGGAAAGGCAAAACAAAAACCATTGCCTGTACAAAAAGAACCCTGCCAAGACCGAGAAAACTCATCACAAAGGGATTAGCACAACCACCCTTTCCAACAAGCCTGGGTGTAATTTCGGTCCAACATCTGATAAATACAAAAGAGCCGTACAAGATGCATAATTCCAGCAAACAAGGCAGAGTAGTTGCCATTAACAGAGGGCCCAAAAAAATCAGCAAAGACAACAGCCTTTCAGAGTCTCATTATGCGTGTGGTCTCCAAGAGATTAGCTTGGTTTCAACAAACATTCACCATTAAATCAAAGACACAGAATCCGACAACTAATACCAGCAGTTCAATCATTCTCAATATGTGCAGATTCATACTAGCAATTCAGTCATTCTCAATACGCGCAGATTCAAATTCAGCAAGCCCTGGATTAAAAAACATTACCTCAGGTTTGATCCATAGTAGATATTAGGTCCTTTGGATTTGGACCCCTCTCTAGCCAACGCATCCGCTGCCTCATTGGCACATCTAGGTATATGTTCGATCTGCTAACACTGGATTTAAGTAAGAAGATTGGAAAGCTGAGTGACAATCGACCTCATTCTCCAAGGCGCCTTGGTTGGGTTAAGAGTCCATTGCACCACGTTATAAGAGTCACATTCAAAAAATAAGATAAGGGATGAGTTGAGCTCCATTCAGAAGGTGCTGCTTCTTTAAGTGCTAAGAGCTCTGCCAAGTTGGAGTCTGAATAGCTAATAGACTTCGAAAAATAGGATGGAGTATTTTAATTCTCATCTCTCAAAATGCTACCAATTTCGGATTCTTCCCGAATTCCTCTTGAAGCTCCATCCATGTTGAATTTGAGGGTATCGATTTCTAGCTTATCCCACATCGCCCTTCTCTTGACCTTAATTTCTCGACTTGGATTGCTTTCTTCATTCAGATATCCAGTAAGATTCTAATTGAATGGTTGAGATCAAACCATTTAGTGTTCATCCACCAAACAAATCTTACTTTGGTGAGCTTAAATATTTGGCAACTATATTATTCTTTTTCATTGAAAACCGCCTCATTTCTAACAATCCAAATAACCCAAATGTTGGCATACCATGTTATTTTCCAAATTTAGTCATTGCTCAAGGACTTGACGAAATCAAACCATGAAAAAAAAAAAACAACAAGATAAAGGATCATGAAGAGTGCAAAAGTTTTTGTTCAGCTTTTTATCCATTACTAATTTTTTCTTTGTAGAAATTTTATCCATTACTTTATTAGTATCTTTCTTTACCATTTACATGTTTGGAATCCATAATTCATGTTTAGGTTTTACATAAGTGAATGATAATGATGAATATATTAAATAATATAAGCGACACAAAAGAAATTGCAGAGTCATATCCAAGAAATTTTTTTAATTTTGTAATCATACAAATTCAACACTATACAACAAAACTTTGAATTTCAATAAATTTTTAGAGAAAGTCATTTTAGAATACACCAACTCATAATAATAGTAGTTGTAAATTTATATTAAATTTTACAATGAAATTTTGACTACTAAACTAAGGAAATAAATACAAAAGGCACAAAAAATTATTTTTTAATTGGAAAAGAAGGGATTCAAATGGCTTTTTGAACAAGAAGATCACATACACCTATGATTAAGTTAAATGCTTAAGTACAGCGAAAAATAGTGGAGAGATATAAAAGATAACTATAGTATATATGGTTATTATTTATATTGGACATTTTCAAATAAATATAAGATACAATCCCATTTTAGAATAAAAAAAAAGTTATATCCATTGAAAATTAAAAAATAAAATAAGGGTCATGTCTGTTAGATATTGAAAAATAAAGGAAAAATCATGTTTGTTGGAAAAAAAAATTGACAATTGTGATTGTTTGAAACAAATATAATTGTATTTGTTGGGAATAGGCACCTATGCTTATAAAATGACTCTCCTTTAGAACATCATACAGAACAATACAGAACTTAAAGGAACTTAATGCAATCTTTTAAAAAAAAATCTATTTATAATATTATATGTAAAGGAATGAGATGTTGACAAAATTTTGATTAAAAAAAGCAGGCATTTTTGTTCATTATCACTAAATTGCGATTTAAGATATTTTTTAGTAAAAATATTAATAAATTTTTTTTAATTTATAAATAAGATTTCTAATTGCATTTATCGATTTTCCACTAGAAAATGTATATAACTTGGTTCTTTAACTCAAATACAAATTCCTCCAACGTTGAAGGTGCAAATGAATTGAATTTATTTTTTGCAAAGCCGGGAAAAATAGTTGGATATATAGGGTAGCCAACTTACAAACGAGTGCTCCATTAATTTTTTTTTTGCTTTAGCTAGCAAAATTGTAATTAAATTAATTATTTAAATAATCTACGATTCAACTAATTCTTAGAAGTTAGAAACGTAAGAGTTTTTTTTACTAAACAAGTGCCACCACCTTTTATAAATAGTGCTTTAACCAAAAATTTGTAACATTGCATCTATTAACAATTTCTACGATGTTATTTTTTATTGTGTAAATTTATTTTCCCTAAATTTATTTATAATACCACAAATTGAAAGATGAATTATTTTTCTCTCTTTTATCATGTATATAAATTGTTATTTCTCGTGCTCTTTAAATTTATAATACAGTAAAATCTCTATAAATTAATACCCTTTAGACTATGAAAGTTTATTAATTAATCAAGATATTATTTAATTAATAAATTAATAATTTATTAATTCATACATTAATTAATTATAAATTAATTTATCAAGATATTTTTTATTTTTTTTCAAAACATTGAACTTAATACATATATTGTGTATCGTGATTATATGAATACTGATATAAAATACAAAGAAAGATATACCAAGAGAATATTTGAGAGAAAAATTTAGAGAAGAATTGAGAAAAAAAAAGTTCAGGTTCATTTCTCATGAGAGAAAAACTTCAGGTTCATTTCTCACTATTTATGATTATTATTAATTGTCATTTTTCATCGAGTACAAAGCCCTATTTATAGGGTTACATAGATGTGAGGGTCACATAGTATTAATGAAGATATTGATGAAACATCATAAATATATACATTGATTATGAATGGAACTTGAAGGATTGGGAGAGTCAATGGACACATTCATTTACTCAAAATACTCCCCTTTGAATGTCCATTGTAATATAAAAATAGTGCTTTAAAATTCTACCTCATTAAAAACCTTAAGCCGGAAAAACCAATGGGACAAAAACCAATCAGAATGAAAAAATAAATACAAAGCACTTAATAATTTCTCCACTTTTGATGAAGCACCATTTCAAGGGCTTCACAAGACATGTTTCAAACTGCCTCATTAAAAACCTTAAGTTGGAAAAATCCAATGGAACAAAAATAAGACAGAAGGGAAAAAGAGTACCTTGCATAGACCATAATCTGCTCCCCCTTAATTGAGCCATATTGCCACTTCTGGGCAATTTGATACTTTGCCGCTTCAGGGGCAAATTAATCTTGCATCCTATTAACTTGTCGCATTCTCATGCCATATACCAATTTCTCAAATGTTGACGTTGGCAATGATTTGGTAAAAAGATCTGCGAGATTATTGAAATAGTGAATTTGTTTAATGTCAACTTATAGACTTGAAGTTCATGAGTATAGAAAAATTTCGAAGAGATATGCTTAGTCCTATCTCCTTTAATATATCCTCTCTTGACTTGTGCAACACAAGTAGCATTATCTTGATTAATTATAGAGGGAGAATTTATAACCGGTGTTAAACAACAAGAATCATGAATTTGTGCTATAACAAATCTCAACTAAACACACTTACTCCTAGCTTCATTTAAAGCGATAATCTTAGAATAGTTGGAGGATGTAGCTACTAGTGATTGCTTAGTAGAACGCTAAGAAATGGCAGTGTCATTATAACAAAATAAATAATCGGTTTAAGAATAACTCTTGTGTGGTTCATATTTATATCCTGCATCAGCATATCCAATTAAACTAGAGTTAGTGGAATCCTTGGAATAATATAACCCCAAATCTATGGTTTCTTAAAGATAACGAAAGATATGTTTTATCCCATTCCAATGTTTTCGGGTTGGCTCAGAACTAAAACGGGCCAATAAATTTATTGCAAAAGCAATATCTGATCTCGTATATTATGCCAAGTATATCAAAGCTCTAATAGCATTGAGATATGGTACTTCAGGATCAAGAATCTCCTCATTAGATTCTCTAAGATGAAACGAGTCCTTTTAGGGATCAAGAAACCTTACAACCATATGGGTACTCAATAGGTGAGCCTTGTCCATGTTAAGACATCTAAGAAATCTCTCAATATATGCTGACTGATGGACAAGTATTCTATTTGCTTTGTGCTTAAGCTCTAAACCAAGACAATGTTTGGTTTTACCCAAATCTTTAACTTCAAATTCAAGTTTTAATTATTCAGCGGTTTTTGATAACTCTTATGGAGTTCCAATTAAATTCATATCGTCGATATAAACTGCTATTATAGGAAATCTGATTTCTGATTTCTTAATAAACACGTATGAGCAATTAGGATCATTCTTGTACCTTTTCTTAATTAGGTACTCACTTAAGCGTTGATACCACATACGACTAGATTAGTTTAACCCGTACAAAGATCTTTGTAACTTTATTGAGAATAAGTTGCGGGAAGTGT